GGAGCTGAAGCGAATGTGTGACCGGTGTTGACTACTACTGTAGGCATTCTCCCGCTATTATTCGGTAACTGGTTAAGAGAATTGTTGTTCAGCTGCATAGAGTTGGAAGCACAGGTGAAGGAGTTTAAAGCAGGAGGTCTGTTTTGAGCTGCTGCTGCTGGCGTTTCTGCTGTAGGTGGATATGCAACGGTGAACGGCTGTGACAGAATCAGATTAAGCTGTGCAACTGCAGGCTGTTCCTTTATTAGCCGAGTTGCCTCTTCGGAGGTGACAGTAGAATTAGGTTTCAAAATGAGCGTCACTTTTTGCACTGATGAAGGAAGAGATAAAGAAATCTGGTGCGGCGCTGACACTTGAGCATGGGAGACGCCGGTGGACTGTGCCATCAGTGATGACAGTGATATGATATTGGCGGCATTCGGTGCAACCACTTGGGGAGCCACCTGAAGCTGTGATATCGATGATGTCGATGGAACGGTTTGCAACCGCAGCTGTTGCTGCTCCTCTGCTTGGCTCGGCAAACCGGCGATGGTGCTTTGGAGCATGTTGTTTGCCCCGGTCACATTTCCATTGCCAGCTCGGTTTTCCATTGGTGGTACCATTGCCGGTGCTGGTGGCCGTGGTAGCAGCGGTGCCACTCTTCGCTTTTTCGGTGGCATTCCACTGGTAGTATTGTTCTTGCTCATCCCTTTTCCCAAATGATATCAAGAACTGAGCTGAAATGTTAACAAAAAATGTTACATGAAGAAGAAAAAACTTGAATCTTTTAGTTAGTTACCAAGGTCGCAGTAGTCGCCGAGTGTTCACCTGTGCCGTCTGCCGACGTACTTTTACGGCGTAATCGCTATCAAGCACTAGCGAATTCTTTGGCGAGCAGCAATGGCACCAGCGGCAACAGCAGCAGCACCTGAAAGAATGGAACGCGTTCAGTGTTTGAAAAAGCAGCAAGCAAACTAGCCAGCCATAAGTTGCCAGTCAACTGAAAGAAACACGAGAAAAGCAAAATGTTACCTTGGTGTGTGCCACCTTGGTGCCGGTGTCGCGCTGGTGGTGGTGGTGTGCTCTCGTTCTCAACTTTTTACCAGAAAATTCTGATTACTGCTGCTGCCAAAAATGGTTGTAATGGTGGTGCCTTGAAGAATACTGGAGGACACAGAACAAAGTGCTCGGAGTTGTTTATCTAAACAGTGATGCTTTCTGGCTCACTCACTCCCTTGCTCAATGACATTTAAAGCAAGAGAGGGAGAGAGAGAGGGAGAGAGTGAGGACGATGAGCACATACGATGAGCACTTGTGCGCCGCCAATTGCTGCTGCGGTGCAAGTGCTGGGTGAAAAAAGAGAACCGAGGCGCTGAGTCAGAGACGCAGAGATTGCATGGTTGCAGCTGCAGGAGCATCCGATGCACACTACTGAGCATGATCATCACCAACAATTGGTCAAAGGACGCACGATCTCACTGACTGCAGCCAGTGAAAGTGAGCGAGGAAAAAATGCGGCGGCGGTTGCGGTGGCGGTGGCGGCTGCTGTGGTAACCGTTGCTGTGGCCAATGATGAAGCAGGGGAGAAAAATGAAGAAGAAAAAAGGGATCAAAGGGAACAAGTGGAAAAATGGTATGCTTGCCGATACAAACGGCCAAACACTGAGCACAGCTTTTGGGTACTGCTGCTTGAATGTCAGTGTTTAGCTAGCAATCAAGCACGCATTGAACAACGTCTGAGTCCCACTGAAACTGATCAGTTGAGCACTGCCGTTGTGATCAGCCTGTCTGGTGGGCAGCTCGGCCGAGACTGAGGCTGAACCTGCAAAATGCAAAGCAGCTTTTTTGTCGGTTTGTTGGCCTTTGAGTGGTTTCACTCAATTTCCTCTCGTTTCTTTACTTCAACTTTCTATTCATTTCATCGTGGCACTGCTGGAGCCACTTGAAAATTGAAGTTCGGAGTAGCACATTTCTCTCTCTCTCTCTCTCTCTCTCTCTCTCTCTCTCTTTCTCTCTTGTGTGATATGCAAAGCCACTCTGAACGCTAATTCTTTTCTTTTTTTCTTTTTTGCTTTTTCACTACAGGAGAAAAGTGAAATTACTTGTGTGATTTGTGCTGCACTATTTTTTTAAAAAAAGCTTTTGAAGAGTTCACCAGACGACTAGTGTAATACCTCTGCAAACTTTTTTCACTGTTGTACAAAAGACTTCGAATTGAGCTTTTTCTCTGATAGGCATTAATTGAACTGAAAGAAAGAAAAAATTAGCTTTTTTGACTAATTCTGCTAAAAACAGCTCAAATTATTGCGTAACAACCAAGTACCGAGAATGTGTCAGTGGCAGATGTGTGTGTGTGTGTGTGTTCGGGGTAGAGCCTAGTACTTGAGAACAGCCTTTTAATTGAAATCAACAGCAAAACGAGCTTTAATTTACAAGTTGGCCCAGTATTAAAGTATTATTAGTCGACAGTATAGTGAGAAAAGTGTAAAGTAGTCATCACTTGAAACTCAAAAAGCTTTTAATTTTAAAATGTCAAAGTTTGTTCAACAATATTAATGAATTTAATGCCCACTTTTAAATGTCAATGTTTTTGCCCTTTCTTATTTTTTCAGTTTTTGTTAGTAATTGCGCAGCTCCCACTGGTAGAGAACTCGCACTAGAGTGGTACCGGAGGCGGCAAAAGAGACGAAAAAGAGGCCCAGCACCCAGTCGATCAGAACGCCCAAAAAGGACTCATTTCCACCGGAGCTTTTGTCGCCCTCTCGGGCCGCCTTTTGTTTTACCGTTTCAGGGTTGGGCTTTTTCAGGTCGTAGGCAAGGCCAAGCTTCTCAAAAAACTCGATGATCGCCGTGCTGAGGCTGAAGCTGTTTGAGAGGCCAAACTCGCTCGCCGAATAGTCGTAGGGAAAGGCGTGGTGGTAATTGTGGTAACCTGGTGAATTAAAGGGTTTTACTTTAAAATATATCACACAGAAACCTTTTAGTTACCTTCACCAAAGGAAAGATAGGTTACTAGTTTATTTTCTCGAGGACTGATCTTCACCGTGTACGGCCGATTTCCAAAAAGGTGCGCCGCACTGTTGACGTTCCACGTCAGATTGAGCACATACACGTACCGGTACATGACAGCCATTAGAAAGGAGTTGAGCAGCGTCTCATCTAGAACATAGGAGCCAAAGAGCGTGGGCACCACGCCCCAGCAGAGAACGCCCAGCGGCAGGTACCACCGACGTTGGAAGGCGACCACCGGGTCTGCCAGCAGGTCAGAGAGGTCCACGGTTCGACCTTTCTGCGTTACCTCGGGGTGCTTCTTCAGCATCAGCCAACCGCAGTGGGCAAAGAAGAAGCCTCGGTTAGAGTTGTGCGGATCGGCGTTGGTCTCAGAGAAACGGTGGTGCACTCGGTGGTCTCGGCACCAGTCGTAGATGTCCGTTTGCAGGGCGCAGGTGTTGCAGAAGGCAAGCAGCACTCTAGAATAAAAGGAATAAAATTTGTAAATCTGAAAGTTTTGGTGAACTACTACTTAAACATGTTTTAAAAATTACCTGAGAGGCCACTTTGCCTTGAAACTGCGGTGTGCCCACAGTCGGTGAGCACCCACGGTCACCCCAAAAGCGGAGAAAGCACCAAAAAGATAGGAGATGAGAACGTTCTGCCATTTGAGGGTGCCAATGATGTACATGTAGAGAGTGTATCCGGCGATCAGGTGAATGGCGCTAATCAGCAGCACATTGCCCCAGATTACCTCTTCCCACTTGAAAGAGTAATTATTTTGGGGCAGGTTTTCAAAACCCTTTCCTACTACTTCTGTTTCATCATCAACATCATCCTCATTTTTTTTATCAAATGGATTATCGTTTTCATCGAGCAGTTCTGAGTCGTCGAATTCATTGTAATCTTCTTTTAAATGTTCATTTTCAGGAAGCAACGCATCGACGTCTCCAGCCTGGGCGACAATTGAGTTTGGAAGTGGTGGTGGTGATTGAGAGTGATGTCGATGATGTAGCAGTGATGATGACCGAGTGTTAGTAAAGTGGGCACCATTTTTAGACGGTGACAGCACCTTATCAAAGTAGCACTCGTTTTCTACGGCAATAGTTTTAGTTTGCAGCATTATCAGTTATTGAAAAGTATAAAAATGGAAGTTTAAATTACACAAGTAAATTGGTAAAATTGACTAGGAAAGAAAAAATGATCAGTGGGGGCAATTGTAATTGCTCGTAACATCTGAGCCCGACGACGACCGAATGAAAAGTGAAAGAATATTTTTTGAAACATTGTGATAAAGTAAAGTGGGAAAAATGTGAAAAGAAGGAACGAGGGAGGAGAAAGAGGAGATTGAAGGGTACTAATTCGGTACATTTCACATTGGTATTTTAAGCAATTTAAACGTTTAATGCACATACGTGACATTGGGAACGCATACAAGCAAACAACTGCAAAATGAAAAGGATTTTGTGTCGCCAAGTGTTGAAAGAGAGCAGACACGTTTTCACCTGCAGGCAAAAAAGAGTACTTTTTACTTGTCTGCTAACTAAAAAAAGCAAATGCTGAAAGATAAAAAGAAGAAGATCTAAATCAGTTCAAACTTGAGAAGAAAGAGAAACTAATCGAATGCTAAGCTGTTGCCTTTTCACTGCCAATTAAAGGCTGATCAACCGTTCTGATAAAAAGACGGCAAAGTAGCTGTGAAGATTGCAACGATTAAGAAGTTAAGTCAAAACCACGCAGATTAACTTGCCGTTTGTCTGTCTATCAATCAACTAAAAAGGGTAAAAACACACATAAGCACAAATGTCAACAAAAAAAGCAAAAAGGAATGTGTTTGTGTGCGTGCTTCAATTGCCCGACTAAACTGTTATTAAAGTGAACTGAAAGTAAACTAAGCAAACACGAGTCAGCTAGCGTTTAGCTGCACTATTAACTTGACAAGCAGTTTTAGGTAGTTAGCTTATCCTTATTTTTGTGCTAATCAAAATTGTAAATAAGGGTAGCAGTGGTAGTTTTTCCTTCCTTCCTTCTTTTCCATTTCCATTCCTTTCCGCATCCAATGCTCATCAGAAATTCAACTCAGTGCTGATTTTGACAAGCTAATTATCATTAGCATTGATCTGCCAGTCAGTCAGCCAGCCATTCAGTTATCTGCCGCCTCATCTACTGCTTCACTTTCTCACTTTCTTTTTCTCTCCTTTTTAAGATTTCAACTATATTTATGCATTTGCAATGCTGCTGCTGTTTTTGCTTTTTTGCTTAACTGCAGTAAAATGTGTCTTTTTTTCTAAAACGTGTCTGTCAGGCAGTACTCATTCACTTACTCAAATCAGCTTGACACACTGACCTTCACTCTGGAGGGAAATGAAAGATGGGCATCTCAAAAGTCACTGCCACTTTTTGAGAAGATGAGAAGTCACTACCTGTTAACACAAGTCTGTTCAGGTGTAATGAAAGCAGCTTCTTGCTAATAAAAATTTTTAGTGTTGGGAATTTTGGGATAGATTTTAAGTTCTTTAACTAAATTAATTTAAAAGATTTGCAGCATAAATTAGCTATTTGATCTACTTGCATTAAACAGAGCTGACGTGATCGTTAATTAAAATTGGGTTATTCTAATTTAAAGTGATGCTTAAAAGTTTTGGCTATTTGAAGTGTTTTGCTAATTAACCTTTTTTATTTAGTTTTGCAATAAAGCTTTATTTTTAACAGTGAAATGTGTTTTAATTTTGGCAACGCAGTTGTTTAGACAACTCAAGTTTCACAAAATGGCTTTTGTGAGCCGGACAATCTACGCACAGTCTGACACGTCAAACGTAACCCGAGTTAAATTTTATGGGTTTTTAAAACCAGGAAGTGATTGCATCTAAACTACTGTAATAAACTAAAGTCACTAGTTACCCGGACAAACAGACAAATTAGACCAATTTGGGTAATTAGCCAACTAGAATTCATATATAAACCAGTTTAAAATGATTTCAAAATGCAAATGGGTTATTTATCTACTGATAGTTTAAAACTGAAAGAAAAACATCTTTTTAAAATGAGCCCTGAACAACTTCGCATATTAATCTTTGTCGTTCTTTCTCTTGTCCCTAATTTACAAATTTTTTCAGCCCAAATCAGCAGTAACGTCAGCAGCAGCACCTTCAACGACATTGACTGCGGCTACAAGGGACCTTCACTGAAGGATAATGAAGACGATTATGATGGTGGTAGTGGTGGTGGGGGTAATGACCAAAACGGAAAACCCGAATTCACCCCCACCGGGCCGCACGAGTTTCGGTGGATGGTGGTAGTGCAGATCACCACACCGGTCACCTTTCGCCACAACTGGTGCGCCGGAGCGCTGATCAACAACCAATGGGTACAACTTGCTATATTCCATTTTTTTATCAACTCCTTATCATTTAACTAAAACTTATGATAAATAAAAACTCATTTTTTCAGGTAATAACCGCCGCCCACTGCACAGTTGAGCTAGAAAATGGCACCCACTTTAAGCCAGAATGGCTGAACATCGTCGCCGGAGTGTACAACCTTGCCAAAAGTGATGAACAGGAGAAAACTACTCGAGTGATGCGAAACATTAGCCGAATTGATGTGCACCCCGCCTACGACTTCAACAGTAGCATTCACGATGTATCGCTGCTGAAACTGTCTTCTCCCATTGAGATGACGCCCTCGTACGCCTCTTTCGGAAAGTATGACCGCCTCAATGCCATTTGCCTGCCAAGGGTTCTCAAGAGGCGGCTGGATCGAGTGTTTAAAGGACAGCACTGTATGGTCACCGGATGGCATGACGTTCTTCCTGGTAAATGACAAAAAGTTTCTGTTTGTTATCTGATGACCAAATGCTGGTCTTTTTAATCGTTTTTGTTTTCATCATTCAGAAACAATTGACCTGAGCGATGAACGGCCCCTGCTGCGCGTCGCCACGCCTATCATGGCCAATGAGGAGTGCGCCGAGCAGTACAGTGGTCATCTGAGGGAGGAGCACAATGAGGCGATTGTCGACTCGATGCTCTGCACTGGTGGGCGCTCCTCTGGAGCCCACTTCCAATCGCCGAGCACCTGTCACCTGCTTCCGGCCGGACCGGTGGCCTGCTACGACCCGACCACCTTCCAGTGGACGCTGGTGGCGGTCAACAGTGGCACGTACACTACGCACTGCTCCTCTAAGAAGCTTCCCGACGTGAACATGGCACTCGACCACATCACCATCGACTGGATCAAGGAGACGCTGCAGAGGCACAGTGCCTAGTTTTCTAGTATTTTAATTTTTTTTTTGAGTTGTGCTTTAAACTGATAATCAAGATTTATTTTTAACTAGCCGAGACTTACTAACTGACTAACTTTTTCCGTTAAATGATTACGAACTGCAGTGCCTAGCAAGATATTGGAGCACACATTTGTTAAGTACTAAGATGAAAAATAAAACAATGATTTTGTTGTAAATGAAACAGTTTTAATGAGATTATAAGAGAACGTAAAAAGGACATGTTAGAAAAAAAATGTTAAATAAGAATGAAAACATAAAAGATAATAAAGTAATGAGTTAATAACTTGAAATCTTTTTTCTGCATCAGCATTTTTTATAAAATTCGTTGTCATTTAGTGTGTGTGTGTGTGGTTGTGTGTTGTCATTGTTTGTGTATTAAAGAACAAAAAAGATAAAGTTAGTGTACTGAAAAAGTAACTTAACAATAGTATTAGACTGTCTGAGAGTACTGATTATTATTGTAACAAAATTATGATCAAAAGACGGGGGTTTCTATCAGCGGCAACAATCAGTATTGCTTTGTTTAATGTTAAAGTGTATTTATAAACAAGTATAATAGAGGTAACTTTTTGAACTTAGGAGCAATAAAAATGCATCTTTTTCAGTAAATGCCCACCTGCGAAGAGTTGCCATCACTGTTTGCATAACCACCTCGACAGTCACCCCCACCACCACCACCAATGATTCCATCCATTCCAGCAATTGACTCATCCGTCTCAGTGGACCGCCGATGACCTCGATGTCTCTGGTGGTGATGGTGGTGATGGTGGTGCGACTGGCTGCCACCGTGACCATGACCATGAGCAGACTGCAGAAAAGTTGGGTGTCCTTGATGGGCGGCGGCGGCGGCGGTCATGGACAGCGCCGTGCCTTGCAACTGCTGCATCGCCTGCTGGTGTTGCTTTTTGCCACTGAGAAACTCGAGGAAGGAGGCGATCATCGCCAGCACCAAGCCGAACATCAGCACCACAAAAACGCCGCCGATGTTATCCAGCCCGAGGGGGCTCGCCTTGCCGTCCTTGTTCTTCAGCTCGTCGCGGATGCACGTCAGTCCTGGACTCTTCCACCATTTGTCGTACATCATCTGAATCTCACCCTTTTCTTGAAGTTCCAGTATCTCTAAAGAGATTTTGTCCTTCCATTCGGAACCTTTTGTTTGCAGATAAAAATTTTGTGTTTTTAGTAAATTCGGTTGTTGTTCATTTTAGTTAGTAAGTTACCCATAGGCGTAGCAATGCCATATCCATTGCTGTTCATCGGCGGGCCAATCTGCATTAGATTACAGTCCCGCTGGACCATGTAGTCAATCATCGTCGACTCCATTAGAAAGGCGTAGTCGCCCTTTAGCACTCGATCCCGCCCCTCTTCATAGGAGCTGCTAAAACTGTCCTCATTCTTCTTCATAAACTCCCACATCGTTTTGAAAGTGGGGAACTTTGAGTCTCTAAAGAAGTTCATCGTGCTTCCGTCCTTCAGCGTTCCGTACTTGATCTTCGACTGGCCGGCCAGGTCCTCGACACTCTCAATTGGCGTACTGATGCGCTCCACGGTGAGAAAGGCGGCCAGGTTGGCGGTGTACGAGCTAATGAGAATCAACGTGAAGAACCACCAAATGGCTCCGATGATGCGCGTGGAGAAGGACTTTGGGTTCATGTCACAACCTTGTTTCATCAGCGTCACCACGGTGAACCAGAAGGAGTCGGCCAAGTTGAACTGGTTCTCCTTAATGTCAAAGTCCTGAAAAGTGATGATTGTATTAATGATGGTCAGGCTAATGTAAAACTAATGATCAGTTATATCGCATACCCGGTTACACGGATGCGGATTCGTCCACTCGTACGGACTAAATCGGGCAACAATGAAGAGCGTCGCACTGACGAGCACGTAGGCGGCTACAACGTACAGCCAAATGTCAAAGGCAAGCGGGCTCATGAAGCTGAAAAGACGGGTCGGAGTGCTGGTGGGCATTTTAAAGAGAATGCTGATGCCCAGGTTCATGAACGGCTTCGTGAAGTCGATCACATTTTCACGGGCAAAGTTTATTGTCAGCGGGGCAATGGCAAGGTCTGCTTTCTGTGGATTTAGCAAGAAAGGTTTCAAGTTTTGATAACCCCTATCAGCGGTAGCACAATTAGTACTTACCTTATCAATAAGCTCCCTGACCAGGCCTCGCCACTCGCCGGTAGTCTCATCCTGTGCCCCAAAACGATTATCCTCCACCTCGTAGATTTCATAGTTAAAGTGCAGCGCCTTGGCAATGGCATTGAGCAGGTCAATGCAGAAACCCTCGTATCGGGCGCTGCTGTCTCGCTCGTAGTACGGCTGATCGGCGGGGCCGGCCGAGGCGGAACCAGAGCCGGAACCGGAAGAAGAGGCTGAGGAAGAGGACGCCAGTGAAGAAGAGGAGGAGGAAAGCGGCAGGGCGCCAATATCACTGGCGCCGCTGAAACTGATGGACGGCGGGCCGGAGCTGTTGTTGCGCACTCGTCTGATGTACGGCTCCATCTACAGTGGTATAGCAGTGATGATAAGTTTTGATAAACTTATCATTTCTATTTTACTCACCAGTACGACCGTCACCCTCAGCGTCGTATTCTTTGCTTTGTACTGATTGAAGGCCTCCTGATTGGTGATGTTCAACAGCGATTCGCTGGCGTACCACTCGCCCACTTTCTCCAGTCGGTAGTTGCGCAGTTTTAGCAGCTCTAGTTTCATGTTTGCTCGAGTGCCCTCTTTGAAAGAGACCCGACCGGTGAGGCCTTGAAAGGAAAGCTGAAAAAAGGTTGAGATTTAGGATTTATGTTTTAAGTAACTTTTGAATAGTTTTTAGGTTATTACCGAATCAATGTAATTGTAAAGTGAGAGGCCACTCGTCCAGGGCGTTTCATTTGAGCAAGAGGCAGAGGAGTTGAGCAATGGAGGAGGTCGATTTGAGGAGGAGGCGGCCGCTGAAGAAGAGGAAGATGAACTTCCGAAGATGCTGCCAAAAATGCTGGAAACGGCTGAAGACGGCTCGCCTAGACCTGGACCGGCCAGCACTGAAACGCCGTCAAAAGAGTAGGGCGGATTCATGGCCGCATCCACGCCCAAGGCGTTTGGAGCTTGAACCTTAGCACTACTGGTCAGTGAATGATGACGGCTCAACATGGCCGACATTGAGGAGTCCATCGCAGAGGGATAGGAGTGGTGGTGGTAGGGTGACTTTTGCAGATGCGGATTCTTCTGAAACTGATGCAGGCCTCGAGCAAAGGCGTACACTGAGTCAAAGATGATCGCTGAGGCAGCCTGTGTGTGTGTGTTGTTTAGTATAATTTAATTAAAACTACTTTGCTAAAAAAATTTAAAAATTTGTAAAGTTTTTACCTTCATCAGACTGCCTCGGTGCAGCAGCTGCTTGGCGACATTGACGTGGTACTTCTCCAGCTCTTTGATGATGTTCTTCACTATTGGATTGCCGTAGTCGACAATGCGGAAGGTCGTTATGTTGACGTCATTGTACATAAAGTCCTCTAGGTCGTAGATTTCAAGGTCCTTTGGTGTTGGTAGTGATAGAAAAAAGTAGTTTTAGTCATCATATGCCTCATCACCAAGTGTTTTTGTAGCAAACTTACAAATGTCGTGAAGTGATAGTGATATCGATTTTCATTCATTTGGACTTGAAGAATCTGCAAAATGTTGAGTTATATTTTTATCTGACAATCTAAACCCTGAAAAACTTGCCGCAGTAAAGAAGCTCGTCAGACTTTCCGGTCTAGTGTCGACGATCATCGTGTAGATGCCTCGGTCACGCAGGTCAATCAGCGTTTCCCTAAAGTGCTCCGGACTGGTTTTCCGGTAGATGAACTGCGTGCTCTTGCTCAACGGCAGCTTCACCAGCTCCTGAAGACCTATCAGATCTAGCGTTTGATAAGTGTGTGTGTGTTGATAAGTGATAACAACTACCACTCAATAAAACATCCCAAAACATCCCATCTACAGTACACTTACTAATATCATCCTCGTAGATGACGCCAATCTGCGTCCAGTTGAGGTAGGCGATGAGCACTCGCAAGGACTGCGCCTTGCTGTAGGCGCCCGGGTGCAAGTTGATGCTGAACTCCTTGCCGCTGTTCAGATTGTGCAGCCTCGACTCGAGGTGGGGAATGTCGACTGCATCACAGACTGACTGTACGTGGACCCCGATTCGGTCGTCATTCGGCCCAAAGATGGCCAGGGCGCCCCTGTTGATCAGCCCACAGGCCCGCTTTGCTGCGTGGAAGCTATCATCCTTTCCGACGTAGGCGATGTCGTAGACCAGCGTCGTGTTGGGGAGGATGTTTCGGTCGCGGTTGATCCGTTGGACGGCGTACCGGAAGGCAATCTCCGCCTCGAGGTCGTCCTCGTGGATGCGACTGCCGCCGCCGCTTCCTGCCACGCCCACGCCGGACAGATAGGCCGACGTGGGCGAAGAGAGCGGAGAGCTTGGAAAGTTGTTGAACAGAGAGGAGGAAGTTTGTTTGTTGTTTCCGCCACTACCTTGATTGGTTGCTTCGCGGAAGATGGCACCTGAAGGAGCAAGGTACAAAGAAAAAGTTTGATTGATTAAGTAAAAAATTAGGTAAATTACTCAAATTAATTTTGTTTTGTTAAGTGCCTTGCATTTTTAGCAACTAAAAGTTAGAAACATTTTGAGTTTATTTAAGGTGATAATGTTATGCAAAATAGTTAAGTGAATGTAAAAAAAGTCAAAAAAGTCAAACATGTGGCAAGCCAAATCTAACTATTATTATTATTACTTTTGTCATTTTAT